GAATTGCAGCTGATCATAAGAAGATAAGAACATAAGAGAAGCCAGTGTTGGATCAGGCCAATGGCCCATCCAGTCCAACACTCTGTCACACAGTGGCCAAAAATACTAGGTGCCATCAGGAGGTCCAGCAGTGGGGCCAGGACATTAGGAGCCCTCCCACTGTTGCCCCCCTCCCCAGCACCAAGAATACAGAGCATCTCTTGCCCCAGACCGAGAGTTCCTATTTATACCTTGCAGCTAATAGCCACTGATGGACCTCTGCTCCATATGTTTATCTAATTCCCTCTTGAAGCCGTCCATGCTTATAGCCGCCACCACCTCCTGTGGCAGTGAATTCCAGGTGTTATGAGAGCCAGTTTGGTGTAGTGGTTAAGTGCGTGGACTCCTCCACTTGCACCTGGCTGGATGACCTTGGCCAAGCCGTAGCTCTGGCACAGCTGTTCTTGAAAAATAGCAGTTTCTGTCAAGAGCTCTCTCAGCCCCACCTACCTCACAGGGTGTCTGTTGTGGGGAGGGGAAGGGAAAGGAGTTTGTAAGCTGCTCTGAGACACCTTTGGGTAGTGAAGGGCGGGGTATACATCCAATCTCTTCTTCTTCTTCTAATCACTCTTTGGGTGAAGAAGGACTTCCTTTTATCCGTTCTAACCCGACCACTCAGCAATTTCATGGAGTGCCCACGAGTTCTTGTATTGAGAGAATGGGAGAAAAGTACTTCTTTCTCAACCTGCTCTGTCCCATGCATAATCTTGTAAACCTCGATCATGTCACCCCTCAGCCGTCGTTTCTCCAAGCTAAAGAGCCCGAAGTGTTTTAACCTTTCTTCATGGGGAAAGTGTTCCAACCCTTTTATCATTCGAGTTGCCCTTTTCTGCACTTTTCCCAATGCTATAATATCCTTTTTGAGGTGTGGTGACCAGATCTTTGGACTGCAGAGATCAGTTCCCCAAGAGAAGATCAAGATGGGTAGCCATGTTAGTCCATCTGTAGCAGTAGAAAAGAGTCCAGTAGCACCTTAAAGACTAACAAAGTTCACGTCAGGGGAGGAGCTTTGGTGAATTACTTCTTCAGATACAGCTAGACTGTGAGTCCACCTGTCCTATATATTGGAAAGTGGAGTGATTTCATTTTTTTTAACATTCTCTTTATTTGTTTTTAAACAACTTAACTAAAAGAAAATTACCCACATGTTACACAACATCTAATTGCAGATAGGTTCCAATTTTTCACAAAATATTTACCTTCCATTTTCTTATCTTATTTGTCGTAACATAACGTATAGATAAAGTAAAGGTAAAGGTTCCCCTTGCTTGAAAGCCAGTCGGGTCCGACTCTAGGGTTGCGGTGCTCATCTCCGTTTCAAAGCCGAAGAGCCGGCGCTGTCCGAAGACGTTTCCGTGGTCATGACTAAACACCAAGGCGCACGGAACGCTGTTCCCTTCCCACCGAAGTGGTACCTATTTATCTACTTGCAATTTCTTGCTTTCGAACTGCTAGGTTGGCAGGAGCTGGAACTAGAGACGGGAGCTCACTCCGTCATGCGGCATACTCGGGTCTCGAACTGCTGAACTACTGACCTTCCACAGCCTGCAGTTCAGCGTCTTAACCACTTGAGCCACCACAGCTCCTTAACGTATAGATACAGTTGTATACTTATACCTATACCCTTCGTATCAAATTTAATCACAATCAGCAAAATTCAGCTACTTTCCCCTAGTTTCTTTCCTTTAACCATCTATAAAATTTAGGTCAATATTTATCAAATTTTTCAAACCTTTTTCTCGTAAAAAAAGTTAATTTCTCCATCTCAGCCACCTCTAATAATTTAGAGATCACTTCTTCTCTAGAAGGAGTTTCCTCATTTTTCCATCTACTAGCGTACAAAATTCTGGCTGCTGTAATAATATGCGTCACTAAGTAAATTTCATTTTTCTTAAGGGTATCCGGAATAAAATTTAACAAAAAGCATTCCGATGTTAGTGGTATTGTCTTAGTCAGAAATCTCATCAATAATCTCTTTAACCATCTTCCAAAATTTTTTGGCTTTACTACATAACCACCATAGATGAAAAAAGTTCCCTCACTGTATTTGCATTTCCAACAGTTCTTTCCAATTTTCTTATCAAATTTATTTAGTCTAACTGGGGAGATATGCCATCTATAGAACTGTATTCTTAATTGGTGTTTACTGCTTTGAGTCAGGGTGCGAAAGGCGAGCTGTAAATCAGTAACATGCCTGTAGGGTTTAAAGCACAGAAACTAGGGCTGCCAAGTGGGGGCGGGGGGCGGGTAAGCCCCCGCTTTGGAGGCCCGATTTCCGTGGAATCGGGCCCCGGGGGGGGGACCTTGCCCCCCCAAGCACAGCGTGGCTGCGTCACCCATCGTGCTCAACATCACACATCACTTCCTGAGAGAGAGAGAACCATACCTGCATGAATCATTAATTCTTTAAGCATCTTCTGTTTCTCAGTGTTTAGCAAACCTTCCACAACCAGTGCCCAATATTCCTTGACATCTACGAGGGCCCCCGAAGCACAGCGTGGCTGCGCCCCCATCGTGCTCAACATCACACGTCACTTCCTGAGAGAGAGAGAACCATACCTGCATGAATCTTTAATTCTTTAAGCATCTTCTGTTTCTCAGTGTTTAGCAAACCTTCCACAACCAGTGCCCAATATTCCTTGACATCTACGAGGGCTAGAAACATTCTCCCCGTCCCATCCAGGGCTCTCCGGAAGCCAGCGTTTCTTTTCAGGTTCCTTTGTTTCTGTGGCAGGTACGAGGGTCCGGGATACTTGGCTTCCGTGATGGGAAGGAGCTCTGAGACTGATATGTCCCCCCCCCCTTTGCTTCCCACCAATGTTCCCTCTAAGCTGTAGAGTCTTGTGAGCAAAAATTCCACTTTGTGAGCTCCTGGCATTAAAGCTATGAGCAGTGATTTGGCTGCTGCATAAATTCGTTTGCTCTGGAGCCATCCTTCCTGAGCTAAGAGAAAAATGTGTGAGCCGGAGGTTAGAAAACTGTGAGCTAGCTCACACTAACTCAGCGTAGAGGGAACACTGCTTCCCACCTTCCATTTGTTACTGGCTAGAATTTGGGTAGCATATGGCCCTCACTGCAAACATGTCAGCCAGCCTGTTCGGCGATGCTTTTCCGTATGCCTCTTCCCTTTAGGGCAGGGGGGGGGGCGGTCCATGTTTTGCAGAAACATAAAAATATTAACACAGTTTAAATCTGTTGGTTCATTTCCTTGGCATCCTCTATGGGGACATTTTTCTCTGCTAGTGTCCGTAGCCAGGCTGTCAGAATCACAACCCAAGGGCAGCAGTGACACGCCAGGCCTGGGAGAGGTGGAGCCACGGCTCGGGGGCAGGGCATCTGCTTTGCATGCCGGAGGCCCCGGGTTCAGTCTCCGGCATCTCCAGGTAAAAAGACCAGTTAGTAGACGATGGGAAGCCAGTTTGGTGTCGTGGTTGAGAGCAGCAGACTCTAATCTGGGAGAGCCGGGTTTGATCCCCCCCCACGCCTCCACGTGCAGCTGCCGGTGTGACCTTGGGTCAGTCACAAGCTCTCTCTGAGCTGTTTTCTCATGAGTGGTTCTCTCAGAGCTCTCTCAGCCCCACCTGCCCCACAGGGGCTGTCTGTTGTGGGGAGGGGGAGAGAAAGGAGATTGTAAACTGCTCTGAGACACCTTTGGGTAGTGAAGGGTGGGGTATAAATCCAGTCTTCTCTTCTCTAGCTGAGATCCTGGAGGGCAGCTGTCAGTCAGAGTAGACAAAACTGAGCTTGCTAGACCCAAGGGTCTGAGTCAGTCAGTAGGCATCTCCACATGTTCCTGCTCCTGATAAAGGACTGGTGAACAGTTGCAACAGTCATAAATGATGAAAGATGCAGCAGGCTGTTATATTCTCCACAAAGAGTAATTCAGCAGGCACCAAAGCAGGCATGAGAAATGCAGCAGGCAGTTGTGTTTCCCGCACAAAGTGTTTCAGCAAGCATAAAAGCAAGCAACACGCCTCCCAAGGCAAAAATTGCGTGTTTCGACAAATTCTTCTTCAGGCAGACGTATTTTCCTGGAACCAAAGCTCTCAGTTTTACTGTGCATAAGTCAAGCATTCTAAAGAAGGCTTCTCTGGTTCTTCTCTATCGCAACTTTCATCAGTCCTTTATCAGGAGCAAGATAGTCTACAGCGTTGGAATAGGTCTTTGTAGCTGTGGACTTTTCTATTAGTAGATACAATGTACATTTTTGTATGTGTATAAGATATACTTATACTTATGGAGCTGCGGTGGCTCAAGTGGTTAAGACGCTGAAGTGCAGGCTGTCGAAGGTCGGTAGTTCAGCAGTTCGAGACCCGAGTTGCCGCATGACGGAGTGAGCGCCCGTCTCTGGCCCCAGCTCCTGCCAACCTAGCAATTCAAAAGCAAGAAATTGCAAGTAGATAAATAGGTACCACTTCGGTGGGAAGGTCACAGCGTTCCGTGCGCCTTGGTGTTTAGTCGTGCCGGCCACATGACCACACAAACGTCTTTGGACAGCGCTGGCTCTTCGGCTTGGAAACGGAGATGAGCAACGCAACCCTAGAGTCGGCATCGACTGGCTTTCGAGCAAGGGAAACCTTTACCTTTTTAGCAGCCCTGAACATTGCAAGTAAATCAATATATGAAGATACAAGTACATATTAGTAGAAGTGTGTTTTGTTCTATCACGGTGTTTCTTTGTGGTTGCCGTTCTTAAAGGTAAGCAGCACTCTCAGTTTGGCCGTCCGGCTCCTTCTGCTTCCAAACAAAATATCAGCACAAGGTTCTTACTGGTTGATATATTTATAGTCCAAAATACAATAAAGAGCAGTCGAAGATGGACCAGCTAGACAAACTTTTCAAGAATCCTTTCTCAAGACCAGACTTATATTGAAGCCATGCCTACAGACTCAATTCCCAGCGCTGAAGTTCCTGATGCTGGCACAGCGTCCGTCTCTCTAATGAGGCGTTTTGGCTGACAAATGGAAGAGAACGCCGAGTCCACTTATTCCGTAACGCTAAGAACTATCTACATATCATTAAAATCCAATTTTAGTGCCAACCAAGTCTCTAAGTCTTTTGTAATGCAGTCACTCTATATATGTGCACTGTCTGTGGCAAGTTAGTCAGCCTTCGTGCATGATCTGGGAATCTGAACAGTCTTCAGGGATTCCATCTACAGATTGTTATTATGACACAAAGAATGCTTTCCGTCCGAAACGCGACTTAACGCCTAGGATACGCGTCTCGGGTTTAAGTGAACCAGTCAAGTGTTCCAAGATGCAGGGCTATTTTGGGGCAGGGACGCACAGGAACGCAGTTCCAGCTGGCTCCCGAGTTGGCCACGCCCAGCAGGGACTCATTAGCATAACAGGCCACACCCAACAGCAGAAACTCATTAGGATTGGCTACATTAGGGGTGTGTGGCCTAACATGCAAAGGAGTTCCTGCTCCAAAAAAAGGCCCTGGGTTTGGACAACAAACAAGGTAAACAGAATAACAAGCAAAAGATGGGTGTGGCTGGATAACCACACTTCTGGTAACATGGGGGTGCGTCCTAATGCGCTAATGAGCTGTGCTGGCAGGGGTGTGGCCTATTATGCTAATGAGTTCCTGCTGGTCTTTTTCTACAAAAAGAGCCCTGCCCAAGATGCATGGACTAAAATCATTTCAGGTATTTTTTTAATTTAAAAACTGGACATGTACGGTCCCTCTTCTGGAACAACTTATGCATTCTTGTTGCGTTGCATCCCTTTTAACTGTGTGCAAACTGATTTAGTGTCCGTGAGCGCATCTTGCTGGAGAGACTGTGTGCACGTGCCCACTTAAACTGTGTATGAAGTGAACAGTGCCCGTGAGCACATTTTGTGACTTCCGAGCTGCCTGTTTGGCGATGAAGTTTTTTCCTGTCATTGATTATGTTATTGGATCTATAGAGATTGCATTACGAAAGACTCAGAGACTCGGTTAGCGTTAAAATTGGATTTTAACGATATAGAGATAGTTTTTAGAGTTATTGAATAAGTGGTCTTGGCGTTCTCTTCGTTTGGCAGTTACAGATGTCGAGCGTCCAGATTTCGCTGTATAGTGGAAAAAAAAGATTGGATTTATACCCCGCCCTTCACTCAGAGTCTCAGAGCGGCTTACAAACTCCTTCCCCTCCCCCTCCCCACAACAGGCACCCTGTGAGGTGGGTGGGGCTGAGAGAGCTCTGACACAAACTGCTCTTTTTCAAGGACGGCTGTGCCAGAGCTTGTGACTGACCCAAGGTCACCCAGCCAGGTGCAAGTGGAGAAGTGGGGAATCAAACCCGGTTCTCCCAGATTAGAGTCCGCGCACTTAACCACGACACCAAACTGGCTGGGGCCGGCAAGTACTGGGGCTGGCAAGTTTCTTGTGAGTCAGACCTGGCCGGGGGGGCGGAGGGGGGGGGAGGTCAGGGAGCCTGAATAGGGAACTGGTTAAATCTTAAGGCCAGCCCCAGGTATTCCCAACGTGGTACTCACGGGCACTGCGGTGCCTCCCAAGTCTTTTTAGAAAGTAGGTGGGGCCAGGCGGGGCTTTTAGCCAGTAAGATTTCTGATTGGCTGTGCGGATTCTATGGCTATCTCCGCCTCCTGCAGCAACTATTTTGTGGAGGCCATTTTGTGCCTGCGCCCGCCCCAGTGTGCTGGAATTTCAAAGGGTCCCACAGGCTCAAAAATGTTGGAGCCCCCCAGCCTACCCTATAGGAGGAGGAGGAGAAGATATTGGATTTCTACCCCACCCTTGACTACCCGAAGGAGTCTCAGAGCAGCTTACAATCTCCCTTCCCCTCCCCTCAACCGACACCCTGGGAGGCAGGTGGGGCTGAGAGAGCTCTTTTGAGGACTGCTCCTGAGAGAACAGCTCTGAGATAACTTGTGGCTGACCCAAGGTCACCCCAGCAGCTGCATGTGGAGGAGTGGGAAATCAAGCCCGGTTCTCCCAGATTAGAGTCCGCGCTCCTAACCACGACACCAAACTGGAGGAGATCCTCTGCAGAAGTTCACGCAGGTCAAATGGGAGGAAAGGAGTCGCCTGTTTCCTCTCTTCCCCGTCCCCTGCGGTTCTGCCTCCCCACTCCTCCTCCAGCCTCCAGACTTTACCCTTGCTAGCCAGCCTCCTTGGTTATCTGCAAGCGCTGGATGCTCTTTGCACATGCCAGGGGCACGAAATTGCCAGTCCGCAAGGACTGCTGAAAGAGGAGGGTTTGCTGAGGTCAGCGGTCTCATTGGCCACCGTGCCCGGGGAGAGCCCCTGACCCCTGGCGAGGAAGGCCGGTGAACGGCACCGAGGTGCCAATTAAGCAGAAGGCTGATCATCTGCAGATTGCACCCTCGGTGAGCTGGAGGGACGGGGTCTGCCGTGCCGAGCTTCTTTTTAAGCCAATTAGGGGATTGACCGGCGCAGAAGTTAATTTGCTACACAAGGCTCCGTGGCAGCACCAGGCATACATGCCACGACAGAACTCTTAACCCGGCTGCGTGGCCGAACGCCGCTGTGTCTCTGAGTGGAGGCCTTCGCTGGCAGGTCGGAATCGGCATCTAAGCATGGGCGGTCCGAGGCCCCGCTTCAATTCATTTTGGGTTTTCTCTCCACCTCCCACCCCCCAGGCGACTAAAGCGCACATCAAGCTCAACACCAAGAAGCTCTACCAGGCAGACGGCTACGCGGTGAAGGAGCTCCTGAAGATCACGTCGGTGCTGTACAACGCCATGAAGACCAAAGGCATCGACGCCGTCGACGCGGAGGAGGAAGACGCGGGGAAGTTCAAGTTTGACCTTGGCTCAAGGGTGAGGGGGGAAGATGTTCTCTTCTCTCTCCTTTTTTTTTAAACCACCCCCACCCCCCCGGTTCTTGCATTACACTTCTTCCTGGAGCTCCAAGTGCCGTTTCAGCTTCAGTGACGCTGCAAAGTAGATCAAGTGGGGGCTGGGTCTCCGGCCAAGCCACTGCTCAAGGAGCGCAGTGAGGAGAGTGTCCCTACGGGAGCCCGGCTGGGTCAGTCCAGGGAGGGTCCATCCGGTCCAGCCTCCTCTCTCACACAGTGGCCAACCAGTTCCTCTGGAGGGCCAACAACAGGGCAGAGAGGCCGAGGCCTTCTCCTGATAAGAACATCAGAGGAGCCCTGCTGGATCAGGCCAGTGAGGGTCCATCCAGTCCAGCCTCCTGTCTCATACAGTGGCCTCAACCAGTTTCTCTGGAGGGCCAACAACAGGGCAGAGAGGCCGAGGCCTTCTCCTGATAAGAACATCAGAGGAGCCCTGCTGGATCAGGCCAGTGAGGGTCCATCCAGTCCAGCCTCCTGTCTCATACAGTGGCCTCAACCAGTTTCTCTGGAGGGCCAACAACAGGGCAGAGAGGCCGAGGCCTTCTCCTGATAAGAACATCAGAGGAGCCCTGCTGGATCAGGCCAGTGAGGGTCCATCCAGTCCAGCCTCC